TTTTTCCTTTATTATTAATCTATTTCATGCTATCTACAAAATATTGAACGTATATTTTCTTAACTGTTTAGATAAGCCTATTTTTCTATGTATTATAGAAGTTATGTTTTAGTGTCGCTTATCACATGTATTTCCGTTTCAACGTAGTTTATGTAACAATACATTTTATTTCAATGTTAATGTTAAAAAATATTTGGTTATGTAAAACATGATATAATAATGTAGATAAGAATGACAAATTATTCTTATTTGGTTAGTGATTAACGAAAAGAATTTTGTTAATGATAACACTAGTTCTTATCCATGATTTCCTTTCGCATTTCTTTTATACTACATATGAGACGAAACCTCTCATCATTCAATGTATTCACCGTGCGGGTGCCGGGTCCATCGTTGTAGGGAGAGGAGTTTCAACAGTGCCTGGGACTTGCGACCCAGGTGTAGGTTTAAGGGACTCTAGTATATAGTACGTCATATGAAATCAACAAAGAATATCGTATTTGTTATTCTCTATATACAAGCTTTTAATTTTATTCATAGTACCGATTTATATTCTATTGTAAAATGTCAAGTGAATATTAATATCTATATCATATAATGTATTGTTAGTTTATTTGTGTGTGTGTCCGTTGTTATTTTAATTTATAATCCCGGAAACAGTCCTGATACTTATTTATGTCCCGTGACATCCCAGTAATCCACGGGAACGCACGCTTTGAAAACGATACCAGGCAATAATAAAATGTTATACTGAGGTTACTTAAATAGACAGGAAGAAAGATTGAGAAATACTAAAGATATTTAAAGGAAAATTTTCTTTAAAGACGGATTTTTATTTATACAAGAGAAAATTACCTAATTGTATTACGAGTTTCTGCTACAAAGCTATCATCACCCTGAACTCAATTTTTTTTTTATCCAGAATTTTGATGAGTTACAGGCTATTGCCTCTAAGTCATCAAAATATGAAATGTATAAGGAATTGTGGGTTTGGATTTAAAGGTATATCAGTATTAGGGCTTCCAATATACTCACTTATCACACAAAACATGCGTTTTAAACATACTAAATTTTTCTTTAAAATTATCGCCTTGAGACAACCCTATTTTTATTCAACTGACTGGAAATCCCAATCAACTGGACTCGGTTCTTAACAACATAATAATATTTCACTGATAAAATAGACATTCTCATTATATTATAAGAGATTTATCAAAAAAACTAAGTTATCTAAATTGAGCGGAAACTTATATCGAGGTTAAATACGTGTTAAACACTGAAAACAAGTAATAAGCTGTAATTATGCATTCAACCAGCATCGTATTAACGATTTACGCAAGAAGCGAGTACAGAAGATATTTGCATCACTGTACGGTTGTAATATAAAATTGTTGATTTTTATACATATCAAGAAAACTTGCCATCAAAAGAGAAGCTATACAAGAGGTTTTTTGTGGTTTGAGATTAATCTTCGAACAAATTTATGAGCATAATTACAGAAAAACAATGTTTTAGGAAATGTCTCTCATAAATGCGGTCACATTAACTAAGTACAGGTCACAAAAAACAATTATTTTTGTCTTTTTTATATGATGAAGCGTTTTTTTATATTTTTTAATAAAAATATATATCATCAACGATTCTTGATCGTATAACAACACAATTATTAATGCGTGCCCCAAAATTTTATGCATACTTTTATGTCGGCGGTTCCGCTTGTTAAGCATATTTTTTGTATATGCTCTAGAAGTATTATATGCTAGAAGGCTTATATTATGACGTAAAAACAAACAAAGTAACTCCATCGTATTATTAAGTATGTTTGTTATAAATTTTCTTTCCAACGCTACACGACATGTGTGGTGAGGACCGTATTTACGCAATTCTTATCTCAATTTGCATTAAAATTATAATTTAGAGCACTCGGTATAGATGAGACGTATTTGTTTTATCTGTTATTAAGTTTATTAATGTATAAATACTATTATGATGCTATTTACAATAATAAAAATCTCTTATATTTTGTACCTTACAACATTTTATACATCTTATCTAGTATATCATGTTTTCTTAGAATTTTATTTTATCTTTGATATAGATATAGGTCTTATGATTATCATTAAAATGAATCATAAGTATTTATCGTACCCGAGCTACTACCGCAAAAACTTAACACGATTTTTTATATACTTTGTGCTATATTAGAAAATACTTGTCATTGCAAAGTATCGCTCCCATACCATCCCATGCGCATCCAATGTTTAAATTATCCCATTAAGTATTATTCGGATCACATATGATTGGAACATTTAATAAGATTTCAATACAATTGAGTTAGTTCCGAACAATCGGCTGATCAGACTGTCAGATGTAATGAACTGGCTGGCCATTCATGGTTGTCCATGCGAAACACGTACTGATTGTGTACTAAGAGCCTTATGGTTATATTATAAATCATACCAAGTTATTATAAAGGTACTTTCAGACGAAGGTTCGGTCATATCGGTATACGACTGATAAATTATTGATTAAGCCAGATATTTTATTTTATATAGTAATATAGTTGATTTGCCAAAGGATAGTTGTTCCTATAAAATATATTTTAGACTAGAAGACCTGGCGAACTTCGTATCGCCCTATAATCAAGAAATATATATTACGTTTTTTTATTTATATTTTTGGAGTTTACCTGTAAGTCATAAATCTCCGTGTTTTGAAGTGCGACAGAATCATTGACATATTAGTTAGTTGTTAAATCTAATGTCAAAAAAACGTTTGTATGGGAAATAGAAAAGGGCTGTTTTTATGGTTTTCCCAGTAATGAATCAATTTTTTTCAGCTTTTATACCTTCCCTGAACCTCCACGAACATTTCTAGACTAAGATAAGATAAATCCGTTCAGCTGTTCTCGAATTTTAGCGAGACTAAGGAACAGCAATCTGAATCAAGCAAATAATGAAAATATTTAAGTCTATTCTTATTCCACTTATTGTCAACTAGATTTAGTATTTAGCTCGTATATTTTAGTAATACTAAAGAAATATTCAGTCCGCCATGTTGAATCAAGAAAGATGACAAAGCATTGTAATCCGAAATCAACGTATAAAAATTCAACTCCATACTTTAAAGATATCTACTTCAAAATCAAGCTGCAAGAAGATTCCATCAGAACAAACAGTTACATACATTGTAAGCTAAATAAAAGATTGTTACAAAAACTTACGCTATCATATTTGATCATAACATAAATTCCTTACGAGCTAAATATTTTTCAGTTTTTTTGGTCATTTAATAAGTAAAAACTTTTTTTAATAACCTTTTTTGTTAGTATATTATTTAAAAAAAAAACTATTCGACAAACAAGTTGCTTTTTTAATATGTATGTTTTTAATGTCTAACGATTTTAAAGAAATGAGCGTTAAATTAGAAAGTAATACCGAATACAGTACATATAGACAGGGCAGACCCTGGCTGAAGCTGGGTAATTGCCAGGTACAAAAGATAGAGTACATATAGACTGAATATAACAGATATTTATCAGAAAATATAAATAAACATACTCTTCATATTTAAATTACGAGAGATTCACTTTATATTTTGGTTAACAATTTATTCAGCTATCTCCTTAACTATGGGATGAAGAGGTTACGGGTGACGCTTGTATGGAATTTTTTATGGTAATTTCCTCTTGTATGGGATTCATTTGCATGTTTCAAATCAAACATGTATTTGGATAAGCTCTAACAATATATAACGGTAGTGAATACTTATAATATAAATGTTAATATTGTATGGTAACGAAATTTCGGGCCCGCATTTATAGTTACCTTTTGGATATATAATTCTATTAATCTGGCTATCTATAATCAAAAAGGAGGCTGTGACTATGAATGTGACCCAATTTTAATACAAAATTTATAGTTTTAAGAAAGTAAAACATATACAAACTTTGTCTAGTTTCTACCGGAAACTATTCCCACAGTAATTGGTTTGCTATTACATTGACAATTCTATACTTTAAGCTAGATTATTTCGGTAATTTTACGTGACATTGAAATATAGTTTTGGTTTATCGATCTCTTGTTAAGAAATTTTTGCTTGGATTATTTTCGATTTTATTCAAACCTAAACTACCATTAAAAATACAGATTGTAACTTAAATAGGTTTTTAATCTTTCCTATAATGCTACATTAAAAGACTCTTTATTTCTCTTTTTCTCATACTGTATAAAATATTTAAAAGATGCTATCCCTTCAATTGACTGTCAATTCGGACACACAATAATGTGTGTAACTTCCTGTTGCATGTGCGATGGCCTCGGCGAAGCAGGTCGGGTCGTATGCGCCTGCGCATAGTACGTTGTGATATCAACTGTACAATCTTATTTGGCAAATATAAATACATATATGTATACTGTTGTACATAATAGCCCTTATCAAATGCACGTAATGAATACAAATAATGTGTATAAAAAAAATATATAAATTAAAATCTTTGTTCGTCATTTTGTTAAAAATTTTCAATTCGCAAATCGTAAACAAACTTTTTTTTGTTGTAATTATTCTGAAACATTTTTCACGTCACGAACTCATACAATTTGTTTTGGGGGTCACGCCTTTCTACGTGGAGGTCATTCCCATTGCCAAACGTGTCATACGAATTTATGCCAGCAATAAAATGTCCAAATGGTGTATCGTAAAAGACAATTATATAGCCATTTAATTTGTTTAATAATATTAAATTGTTATATAATATATGACCTATGAGAAGCTAAGTTACACTTGTATTTTTTGTGTAAAACCTATTTTCCCAATCATAATAACGGAACATGTGGTAATGAATCAAATTTACATATATTTACTATGAACCTTAATAAGTAAAACTTCTTAAAAATAGTCCCTATCTAAAATTTTGACAGAAATCTCAACCTATTTAAAGGAGATTAATAAAAATAAAATAATTCGTCGTATTATTATTTAATGTCTTCTATTCTATTCAGATGTGTCTCACGGAATGGATCAGGCTCCGTGACTATAAGGGCGGCCGGTCTAGGATGATCCTTGGTAAAGAGGTTCCTGCCTGGTTCTGGGAGGCCTACAGAGTGGTCGGAGTCTTCCTGTTTGGATGCGCCTGCCAACAACTCACTACAGACATCGCCAAGTATACTATTGGAAGACTTAGGCCGCATTTCTTCGACGTGAGTATTTTGCCTTTATGTCACAATTTTAGGAATTCTTGGAAGAAAGTCATTACAATTTTTTGGTTCTATTTTTTCATTGCTTAATCAGATTTGGTCCATTTAAATCCTGGCAAAAGTCGTTTGGATATTAAACCGATGCATGAGATCCTATCATAGTTTTCTCATTATATTATTTTATATAGAGGCTATCTTCTAGGTAAATGTCCAAGCCGTTATTTCATAAAACATGTGACATCGGTAAAGTCGATAATTTTATGGGCTTGGCCTTTTTCGTTGTGTTCATAACAATTTATATTACATGTCATAAATGTCACAATGCATTACAATTAACTATTATTTCACGAGAAAATGCTTAATATGCTAACTAGAAATAACAATAAAATAGAACAAATAAACTTAAATCTATTTGTCACAATGCTATTGTTTCTGAGCGTTGTTTGCTATAAGTAAGTCATCTAACGAGATTTGCGTGAGAAAATGATATTTTTTTATTGCTCCAAAGATAAGTTTTGTTCAGAGTCACTGCAGTCACGTACGATAAATATAAAAGTATGCATTAAATAAAATACCGAACAAACAAATTGTATGATATTGAACTTTAAAAGGTTCTTTTTAAACGATTAACATAATTATTGTCATAATTTATCGTTAATTAAATTATGTATTACAAAAGCAATTTGACCTTTAAATATCATGCACGTATCTGATATTCGGGTGGATTCCGAAGAAATGCTTACTTAATTCATACGTGCATGCATTCATAAACAATGCCAATACAGTGGCATTATTATACTCATACTACTAAGATTTTTATTTTAGTAGTATTTGTATTTCTTGTATTTCTTGTAAATTTTGATTATACTCTTCTAATTGCATATAAGTATATGCTTGTGGTTTGAATTTTGATCCTTAAATTGTACTGTACACTTTTCATTATAATGTTAACTTTTTAAATAAAACTGCCGTTAAATGCTTATAACAAACAAATCTAACAAAGAATGTTTTCATTTTGATATTATTTAGACAATTTTTCATTTCCATATACATTATTATATTTAGGTCTTAATTATTTTCATCTAAGAATACTTAAAGAATTTTTATATCACTTTTTTTAAGCTATGGCTTTGTCTATTCTTATTCGGTATAGTGTTAAATCTCAAGGTAATATCATCTATATCTATCTACAAGCTGTATGTCATTAAGCTTTACATAATGTGATCGGAAGCCCGGCTGTGGAATCTTAAGCCGATTTGACTGTCATCTAGTCTATTGTGAAGCGTGGACTTATCTCACTGGCAACGAATAATTTACATGACAAAAACTTCTTTGTTTAACACACCAAAAAGATCGTATGTAATTTAAATTTCTAATTATACAGGGTGACTGGTGAATTACTATCAATATTTAAGGAGAATACTTGGTACATGATTCTCATTCGAATTATGTTAAAAAAATTGGTACTTAATTTTTGACCAAATTTCCGCATAAATAAATAAAGTGTGGACACGTTCCAAGTGTTCCAAGTGTGGACGCGTGCGGCGGCGTACTAATACAACACCACGCCGCCGCTCGCGCGCGTGTGTGTGTGTGTATACCTAATCTGTAGGGTGTTCACACGATGCGTAATTAATTACATAACTTTTGGTTAACTTTACTTAGAAGTTTATTAATATTTATGTTATATTAATTTTTATTTTGTCATATATGATCGTCAAATATCACGTCCTCAAGTATCGATAGTAATTCACCAGTCACCCTGTATACAGCATGTATGTAGGATTTATTTTATCTTTATATGTTGTACATATTTAAATTATTGAATTATTTCTAATACAGTAACGGATTTTTTACATATCCTAATGGATAATCCTATTTCTACATGTTCCCGAAATATTGATTACAAGGAGACAAAATAAAAGTGGTTTTTTCTGTTCCTGAAAAGTTATCGAAATTTTAATAAAATAAAATAATAAAAAACTTCAACTCAAATTCATACCTTAATTTACTTGCTGAACACATTATAATAATATAAAAATGTTTTTATTCATCCCCCTTATTTATCGTTAGAGAGATTTAATTGAATAAATAAAAATCTTATTCATAATTATATTCAAGCCTACATTCATATAACAGGTATTTATATCAGCTTATTTACCAATAACAGAAAAGTGAACAAATAGAAAGGTTAAAATTCTTAGTATGATAATTGTCTCTTTGAAGGGACTTTTAGATGTACAGACATAGGTGAAATAAAAAAAATAATAAGATTAAAGATGAAATAACTAAGTAAGAAAATATCTTAAATAAATCTCTATTAATAAATAAAAACAGATGCTATTATTATAAATATAAAACTGTTAACAACGTTATAAAATTATCTATGAATTTTTATTATATAGGGAAGGTCGCCGCAGTGTTGCTTACACGGTAAATATATCTATTTTATTAGTTTCGGTTGTTGTTGGAATAATTAAATTGGTATAACGTTCTAAATATATTGATCCAACATAAAAATACCATTCATTCATTCATTCATTCATTCATTCATTCATTCATTCACTCGTTCATTCGTTCGTGTCCTAATTTAATTAATTCATAAAGCAATAATGCCGTGGCCCGCTTTGCATAATTCTATTGACCGCAGCAATTTCTTAATTAACGCCACTTACTCTACTTATGATCTGACACAGTTCACTTCCTTGTAAATAATATACATGTAAAATTCACTTACTATTTTCATATAAAACTAAAAAAAAACTATTGTCAACAAAAAACTCAATGAAATTTTTAAGCTTCTATAATTTTAGCACAAAAATATTTGAGTAAAAAAAATTACTCAAAGTAATATTTAAATATTAATATTCATATGAATATTTCATAGAGTAATATTTCATTTCACAGTATATCATTGAGTAATCCGTAATATCTTCACGTTCCACTCTTGAGACTGACTGACAGTGTAATGTCGGTCGTCTCAATATTAATAGTCAATTTAATATTGATGTATGTATATTGCTTTTGCATAATTCGCTGATTGATTAAAGCAAAGATTATGTGATGTATAAACTGTGTCTTTGACGTACTGCCAATAAATAAAACTTGATTACATATAATAATAATTTAAATATAAGCATATTTTTATATGTACACAGTTTCGTATAAATAAAGTAAGCTTTGAATATGTAGACTGTCTTGCTATATATATATATATATATATATATATATATATATATATATATATATATTATTTATCGTTTATATATAATAAATATCTATATTATGCTTTTGTATTTTGATCACATAAAAATTTTATGATTTTTTTTACTTGAAACTGAATACTTTACTTCATTATTCATTTATTATATTGCCTTCATTAATTAAAATAAATAAGTGTATCAAAAGCTAGTTTCTGTCAATATTTTAAAAGTTTGTGTCATTATAAATATATAGAGTTAATTGTTTTCTTTTTCACTAATATAAAAAGAAATTAAAGTTTTAGCTTATTTGTTAATAGGTAGATGGCACATTAATAGATTATTATTTATTATTGTCTTAACTTAATAGATAGTTCAGAATAAAAAGTAAAAGAGTGCAGAACAAATAATTCTATCATCGTTTGTCTTCACATTTATATTTATAGCTAGTTAAGTTTTGTTTTACCGTCTGGTTCAACAACGGTCTTGTTGTGTGCGGAATTAGACATTGTTTTACTACTTCAAATATATATATATATATATATATATATATATATATATATATATATATATATATATTAACAATGGACAGACCAGCTGTGTTTAATACATAGAAAAAATAATGAAAAGTAATTTCCTAAGGAAATATCAATGATTTTCTTACCGTATAGAAGAAAAGATTAATTATGATTTGAAAAAAGTTGCAAGTAGAATTTGTAACAATACTAATCATATTAAAAAATATTGTTTAAGTGTAAAAAAATATGAATTTAATAAAAGTAACGACTTAAGTATAATTATAATATATATGTTTATTTTTCGGTAATTATTGTTTATACTTATATTCAAGAGCATTGCTAATGATTTCTTCGAATTGACTATTTATTGTAAGTCAATTCAGTACCATTAAGACAACACGGAGAAAGATTGATGGAGAGTAATGATACGAATCATTTAAATGAAACTAATATTTTGTTGATATACTACGCGACTTTATTTTTGACTAGCTTTCCGCCCGCAGCTTCGTCCGCGTGGAGTTCGGTTATATCGCGTTTCCAAGAGAACCTATCAAAAATCTGGGATAAAAACTATCCTGTTCTTTCTCGAGGTCGACTCTATCTCTGTGCCAAATTTCCAGTGGTTTAGGCGTGAAAGCGTAACAGACAGACAGACAAAAAGATAGAGTTACTTCCGCATTTATAATATTAGTAGAGATAAAAACTGCATACTTCCGGCGCTTCGGTTACTTTACAGCAACCGTGATTTTTATCAAAAATAAAGTCGCGTAGAATATTCAGAATATTAGATTCATTCAAATGATGCGCGAAAATCTCAGATCTCATTAAACGAATGAATGAATTTCGTTGGATGAAATCTTATAAACATAAGATAATAAGGTAAATTAACAGTGAATATATGCAGGACAAGGACGGTACGGGGCTTGAATAATTAATTATTATTGTAGGTAGAAAATTAAAAGCTTTCTTTTATATAGAAACATTAGCATCTTAGAAAAATCGTAGATAACTTTACAAGTTAAGTGTCTAGAAACAGATTTAACTTACTTAGACATGAAAAATGAATTATAAATACATGTATGAAAAATTGTATTGAGTCGAAAAAGTATAGATTTTGTGTAACTTTTGAGACACCCAAATTGATAATTTCATCTGAGGTAATTATTTAAATAAAAGTTTTGTTTTCGTCATATTAAAAGTCTTGGTGTTTTTTAGTTACGTGCTATAAAGAATTTGACTTCGTTTTTGGTATACATCTGGTAGTACTAAATTAACGTGCGGTGTA